TGCTTTTAAAATGTTTCTTATATTTTGTGTTTAACCAAATCAAAGTTCTTCTGTGTTCAGATTTCAGTTCTGATTTTTAAAGCTCAGTTTAGTAAGCAGTGAGGACCTCAGCATAAGACACTACTTTTCTTTGGCAAAAGTATTTAAATTGTTTATAACAAGGGCTTGAACTTCCTACTCCATCAATAAACTTTTTGTAAGGAACTCATTGGAATAAAGGATAAATTGGATAATTGTGAAGGTTGAGAAAGAAAAGTATCTATTGCATTAGATCAACAAAACAGAAAATGTAAGGGAAGTAAAAAAGTAACAAGAAAGCAGACAATTTACTTAGAAACTCACAGAATGTAAATCTGCAGTAATCCTGACCTGCTGCTCTGTGCTGTTTCAAAGCAATAAAATGTACTGGTGCAAGCTGTAAATATTAAAAAAATAAGTAAGCAATTGACATTATACATCTTTGAATTATTGGAAATAACACATAAAAGAATTCTCTTTCATCCTCACGGTTGCTTCAGTTGATCAAAATACTGTTTATGAAAATTCCTAGGGGAAGAAAAATGTATTAAAAGTTTGAAAAGAGATAATTTATGTTGCTTTGTTATGAAGACGCCTGCAGAGTTGTAATTATCCCCAAAACAGACATTATAAACCCTTGAAACTTAGAATCATATTTCTGAAGTTTCAAATTTATTAAGGTATGGAAATATGGAGCTGTCTTGCTGAGCAGTTTTATCTCCAGCTACAGTGACATCTTGAGGCAGGAAATGAAACCACCTGGGTTTTGTTAAAACAGCAGTAATCATTGAAATTCATTAATCATAATTAAGAAGATGCTGTAAAAGGAGAGGTAAGATGCCCAAGAGCTAGAGGTAGCAGAACTGTGAGGTCACATTGCCGTTTGAGGTTTGTAATTTGTTATCTCAGCTCCTCCAGCAGAGTTAACACTTCTGTGGCACATGTCTATGTAGAATTTGAGCAGCCTTGAGGAGCAGATTGTTTTTCCTAAGAAGCCTCTACCTGTGCTCTGCAGGCATCTCAGTTAGTGTTTTTGTTACCTGTCAGTGTAATCCACCAGGAGAACCCCTGTAAAAATAAGCTTATTGATTAGTTTTTAACTCATTTGAACAGAGAGATGATTCAGTTCTGGGTCTTCCGTGTTCCCCTGTAAACCATACATTCTAAACAACTCAAAGGGTAAATGAAGTACTTTGCAACCACAAACTCAAGTCAGGGATGGACTGAAGGGTGTGGTGAAGACATCATTTAAGATGTGTGAAAAGCTTAAAGACATGAAGGAATCGAATGAAGAAGAATGGTTGTTTATTAGGAGGGTCCAATTCTGCTTAATTTTGCAAGGTTAAGAGCTGGCAGTGTAAAGTATAGGTTAAGGAACAAGCTGATAAGCAGAGAACAGAAAACATATTGCCTTAACAATGAGGGCAGGAGGGCGAGGAAATCAGGTTGGGAAAAACTGAAGAGTTTCTCCTTTATTCTGGCAATAACAGAGATTACACAAATGTGCAATTTGCAGTCCTGTAGTTGAAACCATTCCTAATGTCTCATTCACTGTGACAGATAGGCAAGGGCATAATTTTAACATGCAAACTCAAGAGAAAGATGCCAGTAGTAATGCAAGGAGCACTTGAGTCACAATTCAAACAGTAAAAAGCACTGTTAGTGTTTCTAATTGAGTGCACAAGCATTTATACAGTTGTTGTGTCGAAGGAATCATTTCCCACAAGATGGAGAAAAAGGTAATTTGGCTGAAGGCTTTACTGCAATGAGGTATGTAAGCAAAGCCTTAGGTAAAAGCTAAAACAGAAAAATTGCCAGGAACTGTATTAGCTGTAAAAAGTTACTCTGGCTCTAAGAGCTTATGGGCATATTGTATACCATACCAGCTTTACATGCAGTAAATGTATTTCTCTAAATGTCCATAAAATGTTTATTTACCTTTAGTTTCCCCCTCCTTTTCTGTCCACTACAGCCTCAAATCAGGTTGTCTCCATTTCTTTGGTTCAATTTTTTTTTTCCACTCCCAGGTAGCATCTGCTATTGCTCCCTTTGGTGACATATATTTGTAGCTACCTTTCACTTGCTCAGAGCTTGAAAGCTTCCAGGGATGGGGCATCCACAACTTCTCCGGGCTACAAGTTCCAGTGCCTCTTTCCCTCACAGGAAAGAACTTTTTTCTGATGTCTCATCTAAACCTACCCTCTTTCAGTTTGAAGCCATTCCCCCTTGTCCTGTCACTACATGCCCTTGTAAAGAAAGTCCCTCTCCATCTTTCCTGTGGGCTCCCTTTGGGTACTGGAAGGCTGCAGTTAGGTCATCTCAAACCACCTCTAATCCCAATCCCAGCCAACCTTTCCTCATAGGAGAGGTGCTACATCCCTCTACCTGATCTGAAAAGAGTGCAGGAAGGAATTTTTTGTAGCTGGGGAGCAAGTTGAAATAGACATGCAATGCAAATAGATGTGTCTCTTGAAGTGAGTACATAATTATATCAAAATAAAAATAAGTTTGTTTTAAGTATGAAAGTCAGAATTAATTGTACCAGATAGATTTTTTCACATGGGTGGATCTTTGTCACTACACTACATATTCTTCTTTTATGATAACTTGTTTTACTCACTTGATTTCCCTGCCAGAACTGCACCCAAAGCACTGCAGATAGCAAATAGCATTTCCCTACGGGAACATAACCCTTCCTTCCCATCCTGGTCTTAAACCTCAGCTTTCAGGTCTAGGTAAAAATGCATAGTGACCTAGCATGGTCTCAACAAAGACATACACACTGCATAGGTATTATCTGGCAGCCAGGGACCCAGGATGGTACAAAGCATGACAAGGCAATCTGAGTGTCTATAATATGTCTAATAACTACCTCATAAAAATAGCTTTAAATAAGATGGTTACATAAGAAAATAACTTTTTATAGACATATGTACTAGTTCTTAATAGGCCCCATTTATAAAACAGATGATTTGCTTTACTAAACACGAATACTTAAATTGGAAATATATTTTTAATTTGTGACATTCTTGGTATCAATCAACATCAATTTGTTAGTTCCTTAACAAATAGTTTGCTAGAATAATTTTAAAACTCTTGGAAGTCATCCTTTTTCATCCTGAACTTTAATCTTGAGCCAAAAGAGGAAAAAACTTACCAACACTAATTGGTATCACAAAATCCATTTTTATACTACAAGAATCAACTCTGATCTAGTTAATATAGCTCAAAAGTGCATCATTGCTGTTATGTCAGGCAGATACAGTAATACTTCATTCTGGTTTTCAGTCATTGCTTCAAAAAAAAATGCAACATAGGTAAATTTAGTTACCAATCTATTTTAATGGTTGCTTACTTTTTAAATAAATTCTGATCCAACAGCTAAGTGACCAGTAGAGTTATTGCCTATTTTTAGAACTGTTGTTTTGGTGAGATGGGCGATACCATGCTGAAAGGTTAAATGAAATGTCATTAAAGTTTTTCCTTTCTCAACTTGGTTTTAGGTAGCCTATTGTTAGAATGCCCAAATAGGTCTGAAAGCTATTTCCTGCAAAATTATTGTGTGTTTTCTCACCTTTTCCCTTTCACATCTAATTCCTCTTTTTATAGGTTAAATTATGCAGGGTTTTTTTAAAGAAGAATTTATTCAAAGTAGAGGAATTTTCATTATTCACTTCTGCTTTAAAATTTAGGTATGTTTTCCAGTAGGTACCTAGTAGTAAAAGCATGCAATAAAGGTGGAAACAAGGAGTGGAGGAATTTTCTGAGCTAATAGTGGCTCTGGATCTGGGCAGAAAACATCCTTACCAGGTGCTTTGCATTCATATTACTGGAAAATAAAGTCTAGTTTTCAATGTGACATTCTTGGCAGAAAAAAAACAGTATGTAAAAACTGCAGTTATTCTGCTGTTTCTAATTTAGAGAGGATTTTTCATGCTTATAAGAACAACCTTTACAAATGCTTAAATGGGGGAAAGCATTACTGCAATCACTACTTTCTCTTTATAAAACTTTTTTTAAAATCCTGGCTTTTTTGGTAATAGTTTTCTGTAGTGATATTTTTTAATGTTTTTTCCCTTATATAATGCATGTTTCTGGATCTTATGATTTCAACAGGACAACCAGAGCACTAATGGATAGCTGAATGTATGACAAAGTTTTCTCCTCTCCATTACTTCTTTTAAAGAGTAATACCTTACTTTCCTTGTGGGCTTCTAATTAATGTGCTCTTCTGCATCTCCTCTCTTGTTTTAATTCTGTTCCTCCCACGATAGCAGGCTGCCTTCCTGGATTTTGTAATTAGTGACCATGCATTGCTAACATCATCAGCTTCCAGTTCCCTCTAGATTTCTGTATTTTTATTCTGCTTAGGTTTTTTTTTTTCCAGGAGATCTCAGTGAGACCCTGCTCTTGATAAATAAGTGGAGGATTTCAGTTTGGGAGGGGAAACCTATTGGACTTTGGGAATGCCATCTAGACTCAGAGGCCTAACATCATTCACTGCACACACTGAGTCATGTGTTTTGAATATGAGTTATGACTGCATAAAATTTACATGAAATTATATCAATAACCACCTCCTTTAAGTCAGAATTAAAATGAGAAATACAGAACCTGAAGTGATGGCTAATAACTATTGAAAGTTAAATTACTATTGAATGCTAAATTACCTGAAAGTGCTCAATGTAAAAGGGGGAAAAAATAAAATATTTCAAAATTTGAAGTGTATTTGGTAGGTCTGTCCAACATTGTTATAAAACTTACCCTGTAAATTGCTCAAAGTTGAAGCAAAATTAGTCATCATTACCGATGTATGTTCATCTGCCTTGGTTTGGCTGACTTTGAAGTTATGCTGGCTCCTATTATCCATTGCACTTTATGAGCAAAGGCAATACAGAGCAAAAACGACCAACATACAAGGACAGCTTTGTCCTTTGCACTTTACCAAAGGGCCTTTGGTTTGAGGTCGTGTCCTTCTGCAGGCCATAGAGACCCACCTCATCCGAAAGTCCAGCGGGGGCCTGACGTACATCGCTGAATGGAAGGGCGGATTGCTGGAACACAAGATGGGACACCTCACTTGTTTTGCTGGGGGCATGTTTGCTCTGGGAGCAGATGGAGCCCCCAGTGACAAGACAGGCCACCACATCGAGCTGGGTGCTGAAATTGCCAGGACTTGCCATGAATCCTACGACCGTACGCGTGAGTACCACGTTGCAGAGTCTGGCTGCACTGCTTGCCCCAATGAAGGCAGCCTCTGGTGGTTTTGCATAAAGCTGTATGAAAATTGTAGCACAGTGAGAAGTGTTCATCCCTTCTGAGCAAATGCTGCCTTGCTTTGAGAGTAGCTTTTAAAATGGTTGCTCTCTTTTATAAATAATTTCTGTGTACCTGAAGTGTATCTCCTCACTGTAGTAATTGACGTGACAGTTACATAACAGTAATTAACAAGGTTCTTTCATTATGCCAATTTCTGTATAGCTGAATACAAGTAATAGAAGGACTGTTCATTTATGCATCAACACAGGTATTACTCATGTTTTATGCACAAAAGAATATTTTACACTCAGTTCTGTTGATGCAATGCTGCAAACAATAGAATTGTACAAAGAAAGTGGATTTCTGTACAGGAAATTTCTTTGGATTTTATCATCTTCTTATAGAAATAACCCTGGCAGCATTTCATGTCCCAGAGTGTATTTTCCAGTTTGATATAGAAAAGTAAATATCCTCATCTTTTAGGCAAAATTCCACTTGTTGCTAGTTACACGAAGTCTTCCAGAATGCAAATGTTAGCATCACTGGTTAAACTGAAACTGCCATTTAAGGCATTGGTGAAGAACAGCTCTCTCCTACTCCAAATTATTTATAAAATATCAAAACCAGGAGGAGCTGCAGTATCTTTCATAAATTATATTGTTCTGGGTAACCTGGCTTTGTGCCACATAAAAGCTTAGCTTGATTTGGTAATTTGGGGAGTTTGATTTGGTTACATAACTTGAAACCTTTTTTAATGCCTTTATTTTAGTCTGTGCTTTTTTTATTGACTAGGAATGAAACTGGGACCAGAAGCCTTCAGGTTTGATGGTGGTGTTGAGGCCATTGCTACAAGACAAAATGAAAAATACTACATCCTCCGACCAGAAGTCATAGAGACCTACATGTACATGTGGCGCCTCACTCACGATCCAAAGTACAGGGAGTGGGGATGGGAAGCTGTTGAGGTAATGTTCTCTTGGACTCCTTTGTTGTTAAATCCTAGTAATATTGTTAAGTGAGCTATTGAATGATAGCTGGACATTGTTCAGCAGTTGGAAGCTGAATATTTATTTTAAATCAGGGATATCAATTCAGATTTCCAGGAATTCATTTGCCAAATAGATGACATTTTGACAAAACCAAAAACTGTTGACATTGTATAATAGAAAAGTACCTTGTGATTTCTCCATCTTAAATACTTCTAGGATTAGAGGTCACATTTGGATGTACTGTCCCAGATGTTGAGTGCTGCATGTGAATGGAAAGTGCATACATGTGTCAGATTTGAGCCTTGGATATGGAAATAAGTTTTATGAAATGTATTTTCAGTAATAGTATGAAGGTGATTTTAATTAAGGTGACAAAAGGCCAGGATGAAGGACTAGATAGTACCAAACATAAAACCATGTCACTTTCAAGAAACATAAGTTATATGGACCAAACTCCCTAAATGGCAGTAGTCTCTTATAGATTTGAATTTTTTGTCCCACTGGCCTTTGAGCTTCAAGCAGTCATGCTGAACCTAGCTATTTGTGTTTGTCTAGCACAAGCCTTCCAAAAGGGCAGCTGGTCTGCACTGCAAAGAATGGGCTTGCCAAATCCATTGTTTACCTTATTTCAGAGGTTAATCACCCTTACTCTTAAGGTTGAGAGCCTTAGATTTACCACATTTCATCCTCGAGGTATGGGTCCTTATTACACTTGTCTGGAGTTCACTTCTGTCCTCCTCACACTGACATTGCCCTTGCTAAATTAGCTGACATCTGACAGGAAATACAGCAAGCAGAAGAACATTATTTTTCTGGCTCTGTGTACTTAAGAAAAATGAAAAAAAAATCAAAACTCTCTGCAGTATTTTGTTGACAGTGACCTCTCTTGTGCAGAGGTATTGCTTTCCAGGATTTCAGAAATATCCTGGTTTTCAGTTTACCCAACTCCTTGTTTCTAGAAATGTATGATTACAACCTTCTTGGAGGGGCTTACACCACTAGTTATAGAAGGTTTCTCTGCTCTGAGGGTAGAACATGTAGACTTGTGCCCTCCAATTTCTCATCCCTAAGGGACCCTACTAGAGAGCTGTTACTGGGTTATGACCCCATAAACCCAACTCCCTCCACAGCAACCAAGATCTCTAAATACATTCAGTATTCACTGTGTAGATATTGATCATATCAGAAATGTTGTGCAAATGCTGTTGAGCATTGTGGAAAAAAGGTTATTTCAAGTCAGGTAATTAGATATCCTCCAGGAATTAAATGTAAAGCAAAATCTGCTTTCCAAAAAAGAATAGTAGTATTACCTCTGCTTATACTCTCAAACTTCTTGCCTGAATATTCACAATTGTTCCCTGCCTGCATTGAGCACTGTATTCAGCTAGGTAGAGAGCAGTTATTTAGGGCATTGTATTTGCCTCCCTCAGGTGTTGGCTCTGGGGGGCCCTGAAACAATATGCTTCTGAATTACTAATTCCAAAGCAATTTGGGTTTTAAAACCTCTAATTTAGAGGGCTGTTCCCTTACTTTCTTCTTTGCTAACACCACCCATAGGCACACATTTTACTACTGGAATCTTCCCATGCAGATTATAATTGGCATATTTACAATGGCTGTTTGTGGAAGTCATCCCATCAGGCTTCAGCAATGCCAACTGTTCCTTCTCCAGGAGATGTTTTTCCTGACTCATTGGTACTGGCCACACTGATAACATTGTTATAAACAATTGAAATGTTTTCCTTATTATTATTCTTTACCCATTTGGTTCAGTTTGTTTGTGTTTCTTTCAAGTTGGTACACTTGTTTACCTCTTTCTCACTCCCCACGTGTCCCTTGTTTAACATTCTTGTGGTTATTCTCAATCTGGCTCCAACACAGCCAGATGGGTGTGGGAGATGCAGCTGGTCCCATTCTGCCCAGGGCACATCTTCCACTCTCCAAACGTGCAGTTGGGTGTTTCACAAAAACAAATCTTGCAGCTTTCCAGAACTTATGCAGTCAGTTGTAGGTTTAAAATCTTTTTTCTTTCCGTTCTCTCTTGGTGTTTATAGCCATACAGCTCCACCTAATACAGTATTTTTTTGTTACAGCACATATCATGCTAGCTTGCCATAACTATGTCATAAATTCTGTTCCCTCTTGCTCCTTAATGCTGCTCGAAAGAGCTACAGACCCATTCTGTCCTTGGGGAAACCCCCAACCACTGAGAGCCATTGGTTTAATTATCAGCACAAAGGGGAACCTGAGATTGAAACAAGAAAAAAGAGGAAACTAACGATCAGACCATTTGGGTTTTGTCCAAAAAAAGTTGTTCTGCATGTGTTTCATGTCCACTTTTAACTCATCACTCTGGCAATAAGAACTCATTAGGTTTTTTCCCAGGGCCTTTGTAATAGAAAAGGAGGCAGGTTTAGAGTCATGACTTCTAAACTCTCTGACAAGTCTCTTAAGTCTTTCTCTAACTTTATAGACTTAAAATATGCTATAGCCTGTCCTTTTTTTTCTTTGTGAATTTTCTTTGCTGCTTTGAGTCCAAGATAATTTTGTATGTACTTCGGCAGCTGGAGAAAATGCAGTTATGACCACCAGCAATATCCACTGTTACTGAGTCAGAAAGGTTTTATCAGCTTAGCTCATGAAAGCCTCCCTCTCTGCATTATAAATGTGGCACATATTTTAAATTTGTATCACTTCCTTTGTTTTCCCCTTTATGATAGTTTGTGACTGTCAGTCAGTTTTCACTGTGCTTGATGTTTTCCATTACTGTATCATAACTGATCCTAGCCACCCTCATTTCCTGAGAACTACTTATTTAAAATGTGCTTGATTGTTTCTTCCTGCCCACCTCTACCCCTATCACTGTGAACATCAGTGTTCTCTCAAACTGCAGGAGAGGGCACAAAAGCCCATCACTGCCAGGATGGTTGACAACCTAGAGCCTTTTTATCCTACTAATCCTGCAGGTGGATGTCCTGTTCCTTTAGTTAGGTGGAAAGGAGCTTTGAGGGATGAGATGTTTCATATTTGCATCAAGCAGATACCACCAGAAGGCAAACATGGGCAAGTTAACCCCTTAGTTTACATCCAGCAACCTTTATGATGCCTCTGAACTCAGAGAATGCTCAAAGTACATTAGAGCATATGAATGGTAAATGCAATTTGCTTTTATTTTACCTCATCCTGTTTAGAATGCAGATATTTCCTTGCACAGTAGCCTTATCCTTCAAGTTCTGCTTCTGCTGTGCCTTGAAAAGCATCATCTTTTGTTTGACATTGAAAATCCAGACACAGATGCAGAATTTGGAATTCATTGCAGGTTGAAGTAGACAAGAGGGAAGGAATACCAGCCAGAGGAAATGACTTCTTTAAACTTAAGTATATTTGTCATTTAGTAAAAGTGTCCAGGAAAATTAAAGAACCTAAGGACACGTAAGAAAAGACAAATAGGCTGTTATACTTTAAAGGATCTCTTCTGGAGAAAAATCCCTTTTAAATATACGATAGGCAGCTTACTCTCCAGTGAAAACCAAGGAGAGCCTGACGTGCAAGCCAAATATGTGCACACAGCTACAGGGACTCCAGAAAAATCAAGGACATTTAGGATATCCACTCACAGCAAAACACAGATCTTAAAGAGCCTTTAGAGCAGGGGAAGGTGATGAATACTTCAGTAATTATTAGTGACTCTTAGTCCCATCTGTCTTCAGAAAATACTTATTCTTCCTGGTTTAGATATATCCTCTGCCTTCCTTTTTTAGCTTGTGTGTTTTGAAATGCAGCATCTTTCCCTAAATAAAATCTACACATCCTGTACTCACTTCAGTGGTATTTGTAGTAACTTCAGAAAGGGAGGAACCAGTTATCTCCTGGCTCTCTCTTGGGGAGGATAAAGCCCCAGGTATTTCTGCCTGAAAGTTGTTGTTCCAATACCATCTCCACAGAAAACACCTTGTTTCACAGTAGTCTGGTCCTGAGTGAATGCAGCCATCCACAATCCTTGCTGTCATTTTCATTGCAGGAAGTTATTTAGGGTTAAGTAACATTTTCCTCATTTGGTTTTGAATAATGAGTAGTTTTAAATATAATCATCTTAAATTCTCTTTACTCCTTCCTTATACTGTCTGATACCAGAGAGCTGTTGTAAAAGTGAAGAAAAATGAATGGAGTAAGAATACTTGTAGCCTCGTTAGATACATAAATTATAGAGAAAAACCCTATTAATTAATATTTTAAATATAGTAGTGATAGGATAACCAATATTCAGATAAGGTATTGGATAGCAGTGTATTTAAAGAAGTTATGGCTCATATATATGCATAGATGTACCACCTTTCTATTGCAAACACCTAATATAAATAAAAGGAACAAAATTTATTAAATAGTCTCACTGTATATGCCTTCTACAATTCCAGCATCTTTTTTGCTCTTCTATATATGCTTTTCATCTGATCTTTTTTCTCCTTCATAAATATAGGACATTTCTGTGGGCAGAAAAGGTAGCCCATGTACTCCTTTATATTGTGAAATAGGAATCAGTCACCTGTTTTACACCTTTTAACTGAATAAAGAGTTTGGAAAATAGCTAGAGAAAAATACACTGTTACTGTTACAGCTAAATTATGTTGTGTTAAGTCCCGGCTTTCTATCTATGCCTGTGTAATAGACAAAGCTTTTTCAGAGAGGTAGCAAAGAAAAATATGACTGCTGAACAAGAAAAATTCACTCAGAGCCCAATATCAGTGGTTTCCCATTGAAAAATTCAGTAATTGCCAAGAGAAGCCATATAACTTACACAGAAAATGAAGAGTTGCCTTTCCTTTTTTTGAATGGCTTTGCAGGAGGTAAGGAAAAGACTGATCTTTAGTATGGTGTTCAATTATGTCACAATCATTTTAAGTACCAAAATATGACCAGAAAAGGTATAGGTAACACAATTTCCAAAGGCTGAGAGATTGGGAGAGAAAGGCTATCGTTACTCCTATTAAAAAGAGGAAAAAGAATATAAGTGAAAATCCATATGTCTTTAAATCCTTATATCAATACATCTTTCCTTCTGAAAGCTGGTTTTTGTTCACTTTTTATTCATTCATTATTTTGCTTCTCTTCCTGAATATTGAATTAGACCGGTATGCCTATGTCTTTTTTTAAAAGAGTTTTCTGTCTGGACTTTTTTACCAAGTTTTCACCTCTTTATCAGAAGAATTGTGGCAATTGTTTTTTGCTAGTTTTATTGCCAAACAGAAAAACTGGCATATTATTCATTTTGTTAATCCCACTGATTCGGGTTTTCTCTTGTCTGTTTCAGGCACTGGAAAAACACTGCAGAGTCGACGGTGGCTATTCTGGCCTTAGAGATGTTTATAACAATCATGAAAGCCATGATGATGTGCAGCAAAGTTTCTTCCTTTCAGAGACACTCAAGTAAGTTGAGAAAGTTGACTTTCATTAATGTGAAGTAGTTCTGTGTATCGTCTTTACAGATAAGTATTTATCATTAGTACCCTTGACACTCTCATGTAACAAAATCTGAGTGAAATAGCAGAGCTCTTCTTAGGTGACAGGAGGCAAAATTGCATTTTTTTTTTTCCAGTTTTTGTCAATAAACTAAATTCCCTGACTTCTGCAAATTATCTTTACTTCTGATAAAGGTACTTGATAGTTTTTGAGACATTGCTTCTCTTGTCTTTGATAGGATCTAATTATATATGCCAGCACTAATGAAACAAATTGACTAGGCAGAGAACATAATAGGCTTATATTGCATATTTTCGTTTTAAAACTTTAGAAAAAGAAGACAAAACAACTTCCACGGAAAGCATGCAGGGCCTGTTACAAGAAAAAATCAAATGCTTTCATTATCTATCAAGATCTCCTAAATTTTTTATGAGATTAAACTTTTGTCTTGATCTCTTCTGCTCTGGAGGTTTTTTTTTGCTGTGAAAGAAAAAATCAGTCATGCCATCTCAACAGGAAGTTTAATACTCAAGTAAATTAAATATGAATTATTATGTGTTTTCCTGAAAATTACTTCCCTGATGTGGTCTCATTTCCTGCTTTTTTTTTTCTTGCCAGGTACCTATATTTGCTGTTTTCTGAAGATGATCTTCTTCCATTTGAACACTGGGTCTTCAACACAGAGGCTCATCCTCTCCCTGTTCTTCACAAAGATGATGGGAATAAAGAAGAAAACCAGAAATAGATGAAGATTAATTTATACTTTGTTTCATTCCTTACATTTCCAGGACTAGGGCACATGATTTGGTTTTAAATTCCTAAGTTAAATTTTTTAATCAAGTGTTTTGCAGTCTGTTTTCTTTAACAGTAAATTTTTATGAATGTACCCTATTAATTATGATAAAACCTTAATCCTCTAATTCAGATTAATACCTTAATACCTTCTTAGAAGTGAAATAGGGTATCTTCCCAGATTCTGTTAGGCTGCAGTGTCATTTTGGCCAAAAAAAGCAGAAGGTCTGCATGTTACTTGTTTCCTGTTATGCTTTTAATTTGACTGCAAAATTCTTCTCTCCTCTGTGAGGAGATGTATGCTTTAAGCTGTAATATTTTGCCATGTTGCAAAAAGCCATATTGAATTAAGTATAAAGAGCTTTTTCTTTTTCTTTTTTTATGTTCTATGTTAGTTTGTTTTGTGTGTCATCCAGGACAAATCTTGTGACTGTGACAGCCTCTTCTTATGCGGGTCTATCATTACTTGCTGGAGTATCTGATGTATTTCACTGTCAATGAAGTCGACATAGGGGTACTTTCATCTCATGCAGACCCAACTCTGAAACTGCAGTATAAGTTGAAGTTAGATTAAACTAGTTTCTATGGATTTAGCACATTAGTTAGCAGACCTTAGTTTTTCAGGTTTTGATTAGAATATTGTAATAGAATAAATTGTTTCCTCCCTTTTCTAGGTGGTGTTATTCTTATGTCTTTAGTCAAGCTACTATGGAGTAAAATAAGGTAATCATTTCATATTAAGAAAGGGACTATTAACCTTCTTTATATATTTAGTCCAGTAGCTTTCATTTGGTTGGTTGGCAAAAAAAAAATCCACTCAACAACATTTTCCTGCAAGTTCAGATTATATCAGATACAGTCTGTTTGTTTTTCTGTTACTTTTGCAAAGGTTTAGGTAGGTCCAGACTTGCCACCAGGCTTGGTGGTTAATTGTCACAAAGCAGTTTGATGAATCTGTATGAATGAAGATGGGTGTTCAGATGCCTTGAAGAAAACCTGCCTCCTCAAAAGAAGAGAAGTCATTCAGAGAGGAAGTTATCCTGCATTGAACTAAAACTTTCTGACAACACTGCCTTGTCTTAAGTAACAGAAATGCAATGGGCTTAAAAAATATTCCTTCGAGTAGAGGCCTGGCTTATTAAGAAAGGTAACAGCTTTGCCAAAAATGTTTTGCTCTGTGGCATCACCAAAGGTAAAAAGAAATGAGGCACAATTAATTCCTGTTTCTACTTGGTTTGAAGTGGTTTACATGATTTTTAACTCCACCTGTTTTCATTTAGTGATGGGATGACTTCCATACGTTTCAGGTAGGAAACACCTGGCTTCCCATTCTGAGAAAGAACATTATTCATTGATTGGACTGCAGTGGAACAAACCTGGTTCTGAAGAGTAACCTTCTTGAATGGTATTTAGTAAGATAGCTCACATGTCCAGCATTGCTAATCACAGCTGAGGGAACACATTTGTTTAAGCTTTAGAGTGCATTTTTTCTATGCTGATAGAGGTCTGCAGTGGAGGTTTTCTTAGGTAGAAGCCAAAAATAACTAATTACACTTTTATATATAGCAGCTAGAGCTTGCCCTCAAGTCTGCAAGGACAGCACTGCCTGTTGCCTCCCCTGCTGACTGAGGAGATGGCACATGCCCCACAAGCTGCCAAAGACACTGGTGTAGGGGACAAGGCAAGGATCCACTGATGCTCCAGCACAGGCTTGGCAGAGCTGGCCAGTCCTGTATGAGAGTTATTGGGGCACCTTGGTGAGCCTGGGCCACCCAGCACCCAGGGAGAATGGATAGAAATGGATGTGCAGGTAAAGCCTGCTCACACAGAGCCAGGCACAGCGGCTCAAAACTTTGTGCTCCATTGTATTTTTAAATTTTTATCTTCTTTTTTAAAGCATGGATTCCCTCATGGCACAGCAGATTTCTGAACCCAGCCAAGCAAGGATGAGTTCTTGACTCTCTCCTCTGTTGAAAATCAGAAATTCTGCTGCTTTTGATTGTCCAGAATTTGTACCACTGGAGGACTATACTTCATTGTATTTCTTTATAAATAGTATTTATAAAGGAGATTTTTTTTCATCCCCTGAATCACCATAGCTGTGGAATAAAACCAAAATATTTCCTCTCTTTTTAACATGTAATAATAATTTTTTTTCTTAGTTATGCTTAGTGGGTCACCTGCTGCTACTGCCCCTCACATGTATGTGCTGCTTTAGACCTCATCTCAGTTAAATAACTACAAAAGCTCAGACAGAAACAGTCTTTGAGAAGTGTGTCTTCTAAGCCACTTTCTACATGGTTTTCTTAACCAAGGTTTGCTTCCCCCAGCTGTCTATGGTGATATTGCTGGTACTTAGCAAGCTGAAGGGAAGAGCAGAGAACCAGACAGGTCTCCACGTTTCAAAAGCAGGCTCCAGTCACACAGCTCTATGTGCATTGGGTCTTATGTACTTAAATATAAGCATCATGGTTGTTTCCTTGTAAAATGGACATTTCATAGCGTGGAATTTTCCTTAGCGTGGGAGTTAGGACGATCTGAAAGAGCACAAATTTGATGTGGTATTGGTATTCAGGTTGTATGTACAAACTGCACTATACTGTACTTTTTGTAAAGTAATGTAAGTAGACGAGAAGATTGTACAACGTGTAGATCTGCCAGCTGTAAGAAAAAAAACTTTTCATAAACTGAGAATATATCAACTTTTCTTTTTGTTTTTAAATAACCCCAAAACACCAAAGTTAGACCAATCATTTTTGAACAGTTCATATTTACCACTGCTTATTAGATCAGTAAGGTAACATGCATTTTAATTCCCATTCACTTAACTCACTTCATGGAAGTGGCTAGTGATGGTGACTTTGTGTTCCCAGTCATTCATAAGGGCAAAAGAAATTGCTCATTATTGGGGGGAAGTGGCAGGGGGGAGAAGACAGTGACATGGACACATTATCTTTACATAAACGTACTGCCTACACTTCTTCCACTTCTTTGTAGCATAATAATGCATTTAAATCTACATATGTTGGATCCCAAGAGGTAGATCCCTTTAAATGGCACCAACATTGTGTCACAGGGGAAAAAAAAAATTTTTGATTGTTTGTGAGATAAATATTGCATATGTGTTGGTTATACACAGATTTTTGCAATGCCCAATAGCTCACTGTTTCTATGGTAACTTCATACATATCCATTTCTATCATGTATTTAAATTGGTTTTGATTTGTACATATTCCATTTAGTCTTTTCATCTTTATATAAACTGAAATTATGGAATACATAATAGATCAAGATGCTTAATTTTTAAGAACTTATATTTGTAAAAATTTCTCTATTGTGAATAAAGTCTTTTAATATATCTGTTCAACTGGTTATAGTTTTTCTTACGTGTGTTGCCAGAAGTAACTATAGGAATCTGCTGCATATTCTGGTTTAGCTGCTGTACTCACCAATTTTTTTGTCAGTACTCCATGTACTTGTTAAGATGCTGTTCTTAATTAATGTCAGTGTATAGAATTTCTACCACTGAAATAAGTTTCTAGGATTTTTTTGTCAATAAAATTCAGCATACCAAATGTACTTTGGTAGAAAACGAGCCTGCTAATGAAAAGAGGGAAGCTGGGAAGTGGGAGGTGGCAGGCAATAAGCGCAGTGAAGGTCAGTCACTACAATTCATGCTCTGCACAACACAAGTGGGCAAAGCTAAATGCCATTTAGGAGCCAACAGCGCAGTGGAGATGACAAGGCTGTCACAGTGCCCAGTGTTACATGACCATGTAATGAAATCCTGTCGTTAGCCCGTGCTCCAGAGGAGAGGGAAACAGTTGTCATAGGAACTGTAACTATATTTTGTTTCAGAAGGACATTAAGATTTCCAATCTAAATATTGAAATAACAGCTACACCTCCTGGATAACCCTGTTTTCTCTGTTTAGTAGAAAGCCTCCTCCCAAGATGATACTGAAATAAACTGCTGTGGTTTTACAGAACAGTCTCAGTAGTATCAATTTCTGTCAAAAGACTTACTCATTAGACCTGCTTAAATCATTTTTGAGGGCAGCTCTGAGATTTTTTGCAGCAGTTTCAGCTACACAGTGAAGTCCTTGGGGCAGTCAGGAGACAGTGCCCTCCTGCAGCTGGCCCCAGGACTAGACAAAGGCAAACATAAACTAATGCAAACCTTCCTGCAGACTGGGATTCAGAAGAGATGTAAACACAAGCCTGGGTTAGAATTTCAACCAATTCACTCTCCTTAATTGGATGCTTGGTGTGGTTTGTTTTCTGCAGGGGGAAAGGGAACTAGAGCTGAGTTGACAATTAGTCAAGACAAACAGGATTTGCCCCATTTGCATTGCCCTATGGCCTTGCTCTATCACAAGAGGAACTCAGCACTCACACGGCAGCATCTGCTATGGAAACAGCCCTTCCTCTGATCCGCCTTAATCTTGGGATTAGTCTGTCCTAGTTGAGCTCAAATGCAGGAGGAGAGATTACACATTGAAAAGCAAACTGCCAAACCCAGGAAATGGTCACTGAGATTCAAGAGTTCCGCTCTGAATATATGGAATTTGCAGGCAACCCCAACAAGGGAAGAGATGAGAATCTTGACTCCATGTTTCAGAAGGCTGATTTATTATTTTAGGATATTATATTATATTAAAAATGATATACTAAAACTATACTGAAGAAAGAGAAAGGAGACATCAGAAGGCTAGAAAGGAAAGGAATGGAATGAATAATAAAATCTTGTGACTGACCAGAGAGTCCGACACAGCTGGACCTGTGGTTGGTCACCAAGTAAAAACAACCACATGAGACCAATCAAAGATGCATCAGCCACATTCCACAGCAGCAGATAATTATTGTTTACATTTCCTTTCTGAGGCCTCTCAGCTTCTCAGGAGAAAAAATCCTAGCAAATCCTAGCAAAAGGATTTTTCAGAAAATATGTCTGTGACACTGAATACTGCAACAAGAGGTAAACCACAGGGTTTTGCTCTCTCCTGGGTTTATGCATTCATACATCCTCAGAGTGGTGGAGGGAACAAGTGCCACATCTGCAGAACCCAGCTAGAGCCCAGCAGGCTGTTAGCACTCAGCATTATTCCAA